CCCAGCAAGCATGGAGGCAGGGTTTGAGGCCCCACTTCTCACACTGGATAGGAATTTTCCATGTTGGGCTTCTAATCACTACTCTCAGGTCTTAAAGTGATTCATAGAAGCTGCTGGTACAGAAAAGTCAAATCTTATGCGCTAGAGAACAAAATTAAGTTTAGGGTGGGGGAAAGAAGGAAAAAAGACCCCTCGGTGATAAGTTGAAGTGGAACAAAATGGGGCAGCAGCTAGTTGAACAAGAACATCCTAATGCACAGGTAAGATCCCGTTAGGGAAACTAGTCTACACTCCCACTGCTTCTACGGCTCCTACTCTGTGGGGGTGAACACAGGTGGGAGTTCTCTCAGGGGTCTAAGGGGCTACTGGAGGAATCAGAATCATCCATCATCTCCCATTAATTGTCTTCTCATTCATTCAACAAGCTTCATAAAGGGTCTACCACGGGCCTGGCCTAAGACACAGTGCCTACCTGCACCGAGCACCAGCACCACCAAGTACAAGAGGTGATTACACTCGATGTTTTCAAGAAGGAATCGCAGTTAGAAAAATGTCGGTGGGCTAGCTCTGACAGCCCTCCTTGCTTCAGGCTTCACAGGAGGGGAAATCCGTGAGGACACTTCGGTCTCTCCCCACTCTCTCAGGGGTAATTAGATTCAGAAGAGGAGACACCTACCGACATTCAAGTCTAGGAGAGGGAACAAAGCACACGTGTCTCCTGCCTCTCTTCTTCCCTTGGAGTCCCATCTGCCTGCTGCAGGAGCCTATGTTCTCTGGGCTCCCTAGGCTGTTACAGGGGCAGCAACTCCTAGGAGGGACAAGTGCTCTGCTTGGGTGCAATATTAACAAGTCTACTTTATCATCTAACCCAAAGCCAAACAACAAACCAAAACACACACAAAAAAACCAAACCAAACCAAACAAAACCCCACCAAAAACAAAAACCCATGGAGGTATGGAGGTTTGTAATAAAGAGGACACTTGTATCTCCCATCATGAGTCTCTGTGACTCAGTTCTGAATTCAAATGGGGTAGAGAGGCTTCACTGATGACTCCTTCTCTTTGCTATGCTTGTCTGACTAGCTCATTTGCCCTTTCTCCCAGCTGCTATTATGTATCCTTACAATAACTTGGTGATGGGCAGTTTTTTTTTTTTCTTTTACAGGAGAAAAATTCTAAAACCTGAGCCTTGAATGACTTTGAGGCCATTTGATAGCCAATGTGTTCATTTAGGATGGGAAGTTCAGATTCCTTAACACAGATATGTCATCTGGAGCATACTGCCTTCCATTTGAAATCTTTGGGGATGGGGAGTGCTGAATATTGGAAATCATTTTTATGCCACATAAGAGTCTATTAGATCTGAAATAGAAGCACTACACACAAAAGTTTATCCACCCCACTTTGCTTATGCAGCTCTGAGGATGAAGCAAGAAGGGAAGGAAATATGAACAAGGAGTAGGAATACCCTTCTCTTGCTTCAGCGCATTTATACTCCATTCATGAAACAATTACTGCAGTCCTTTAAGTGCCAAGCACCAACCTTGGAATACAGAGATGAATACAATACTGTCCCTGATGAGTCCACTTTTTTCCTCTCCCTGTGTAATAATGCAATCCATTTCTGTTAAACATCACCTCATGGACACAATCATCTACACAGTCTGTCCATGGAGAACGGATTACTTTTTGGTTTCTGCATGCTACCTCTCTGTAGTGGCCCTAATTTTTCCAGTTATTTAGGGTAATTTACTAAAATACAATTTTTTTTTAAAAAGACAATGGATGTAAACATAATCCCAACCTAAATGCAGACCATGTACTCTATGGCTGGAAAGCATAACCCTAAGTTGCCCAGCTGCCTGTAAATGCGAGGCATGGGTCGCCACCACACTAAGGAATAGAAACAAGATACTGTAATTAAATTCAGAGAAGAAAACATAACCCAGGGTAGCCATAAAACAAAGGGCACCTCTTTATCATCTTAAACTCAAGGCTAAGGGTTCAGCAAAATGAATGAGCTCCCTATTCTTAACACTTTTACTACTTTTAGCACTTTACATTTAACACAAAGTCAAGCTTACTTAAACAGGTTACACATGATAAAAAAACCTTCTACTTTGCTACTAATTAGGTTTGTACGAATAAGTGAAAATTCAGGATACAAAACATGCCAAACAGTAAAGCTTTTCTTTGTTTTGTTTTGTTAAGAAGGATGGGAGTACAAAAAACATTTACTGAGGATCTATGTTCAAAGCACCCTCCATAAGCCCTCTCCTTTATTAAATCCTCCCAACTTTTCTAGGAAGTAAACAGTAGTGTACCCTTTTCCCCAGATGCAGAAACTAAAGTTCAGATGTTAAGTAACACGTCCTATTCCACTTCCTCTGGCCAAATTCCTCCTCTGAATCAGTGTTTCTCAATGAACCTAGGGACACTGGCTGTTACTTGGTTTTGGGTTGTGAACTTTGTATGGGATGGCCATGCACTGAGGGACATATAGCATCCCTGGCCCATGGACAAAAAAAATACCAACAGCAGACCCAACATATCCCAATCACACACTTGGAGGACTGTTACCCCTTGGATGAGAACCACTGCTCTAGAAGATTCTTTGAGCATCAGGACAAAAGACTGAAGAGAGGGGCACTTCCTTTAAAAATTTCCCTTACCTTCAAATCTCTCAGAAGTCCCTTATTTTATGGCGCTTGGGCTCCTAAGAAAGCCCCATGCACACTTACGGAGTCAGTTACAAAAGTGGCCATGAATTTATTTCCCATACATTCCATAAGCATTTACTGAGAACCTACTCTGGGTCAAGTACTGTGCTATGGGCTGAGAATATAAAGTCAAAAAGTACAAGGTCCCAACCCCGAAGGGGTTACTGTCTTATAGTCTAGTGAGAGATTGAGTATGGAAATGTTAAAATAGGTGTAAGCACAGGTACTAGGGAAGCTTAGTGCAGAAGGCACCTCCCACAGACCAGGGCAGAGAGCTGGGAAGGCAGAGGGAACAAAGGGTTGAGACAGGCTCCCAGAGGAAGAGAAGTTTTCCCTGAGCCTTTTGAAAGATCAAGTGAGAGTAGCCAAGAAGCGCCCACTAGGCTGAGCAAACTGCCTTTGCAAAAACAGAGCTAGGGAATCCTCTTTGCAGCTGAAGTTTAAATGACTTCCTTCAGTCCTCAAGTTGAGACTTCATTGTGATTCAAACTTGGGATCTCCTGTTTACTAGACAAGCACTTGAACCAAAAAATCTCTAGAAAATAAAATAAGTCTCTGCAGTCTACGTGTAGTTCATTCCAAAGTTCTTGTTTTCTCGCAAGGTCTGACTGCTGGTATAACTCATCAGACGAGAAATATGACTAATTTTATACTTCTTACAGTGAACAGGAAATTATTTTCAAATACACTGCGGACTGGCAACCAGTGGGAGTGTCCCTCACTTGGAAACACAGAAAAGTGCAGAGAAAAAGAGAATAACCAAGGTCATCTGAAGGGTGAGGCAAGAAGGGGTGCCAGGTCAACCTAACCTTGGCCTGAAGCTCAGGAGGAACTTTATCTTTTTTTGCTCATCTGAAGTCTTGTTTCACTTACAATCAACTGTAACGATGCAGAAAGCCAGATTCTCACCTTATTATTACGTTTGCACAGTACAGAACACTTAGAAACATCTTTGGCTATTTTTTTTCCAAAGCCATGTATGTTAGAGATGTAATATAAAAACCATAGATGTGAATATAATATAGATAACTAAAAGTAGCCAGCTGGGGCACTCTGAATCTCAGCCCAAAGGCAATAGTTTTTTGAGTTAAGGTACTGAGCAGAAGAACTGGGTTGTTGCTACTTCAGACGGTTAAGTAATTATAATGAGAGCAGGAGTCAGAGTAGTTCAATTGCTCTCTCCTGGGGCAGGGAGGGGAGAGGGAAGCAAGCCTTGTGGTTCCCTCTTGCCTCTAGCCTACAAGGAACAGACTCATTTCCCCTTGGCAAGGAGCCAGATGCACTGGCAGGCATGCCCTCTTTTTCCTACCCCAGTTCCCCTCTTACCTGAGCCACACTCAGGATAACTCTGCAGGGAACTGTAGGCTCTCCTTCAGTCCCATGATTACCGCATTTTATCGTTCAGGCACAGTTTGACCTCTAATTTGACACCGCAAACACATCTGGTCCACATATTTCTCCCCATAAACTACCCTCCACAAAAAAAAGTCTGTGTTCCAAGGGAAGAGAATCTGAAAGGAAGACTCGGGATCCCTCACAAACCTCCTGCCCCTGCTTTCATCCCGGAGGTTCAGAGGAGACAGTATTGTAGAGCCAAAACTGCAAAGCCAGAGGCCATAATTATACTAGAAAAGAGGAAGGTGGTCTTCGAAGAAAAGAATTCACCCACATGGAAGAGACTGGTTGTTCTTTTTTATTCCTGGCTGATTCCATTTCTTTTCTATAAACTTTGCTAACCCCGGGATGGTCGTATAAACAGAGACAGGTGTAGGGACACCTCCACCCTCTGAGTACATCTGCTGCCACCGCCGCCGGGTGCGCACGATAGGGGCCCTGGACCCAATCGAGGGCCATGCTTCCCGATGACGCACCTGGCCAGGGTCCTCTCCCACGTGTGGGGGGCAAAACGAGCATCCCCAGCCCCCGGGGCCACCCAGCCGGCCTCGGTTAAAGGGGATAGCGAAAGGGGCACCTCCGGGCTGAGACCTCGTGCCGGTCTCTCCGGCTTTCCCCCCATTTCCAGTACACCGTGTCGCATTAGGGGTACTCTTCGCCTCCAACCACAAAGTCCTGCGCACCTACATGTCTTTCCAAAGCAACTGAAGAAAGCGCCTACTGGCCTTCCGTGGCTCAGGTGAGTGCCAAGAGGTGTAGGAAGAAAGGGCCCGCTCGCCACCACCCTCTTTCCTCTCCTCCCCACGTTCCCCAAGATTCATCAGGGATGTGTGTATTGGGGTGCGCGGGTTAAGAGGGAGCTCAAAATGCCCAAGCGTCCCTTACCTTCCACAGCCATTCTCTCAGAGCTTCCCTAACGCATGCATAATTTTCTCGGCCGAGATACTCCTCCTGCCCCGCGCTCCCCCCTCCTCGCGCTTTCGCCTAAATATTCTGCGCTCATCTGCTCTAGGACCAACCTGCCGCGGTCACGCAAAGCGAGGCTGCAAGCTCCGGCTCCGCGCAGGGCAGCCTGGGAAGTGTAGTTCCCTCACTTCCCTCGGACCCGGGAGGGTACCCCGAATCCTCCCCAGGGGACTGCCTCGTCTCCACACTCGGACCGCAGCTCTGGCTGCAGCCGGCCGAGGCAGAATAATCCCTCCTGGAGCGGGGGGAGGTGTCTCAGGGGCGGAGCCGGCGACCCCCGGACGTGCCCGGGACTACATTTCCCAGGATGCTATGCGCTGGGCTTCGTTCGGCGCTGAATAGAGACCCGAGATTGAGCTCTTCGCTGACAATTGGAAGTGGGTAAGCACCTGCAGAGGTCGTGTGGAGGGCTGGAGGTGGAGGTGTCTGTGGTGGGATCTTCTGGGCTTGTTCGCGGGCCTGCTTGGCTAACTATTTAGTGAGGAGAGCAGAGCCACCAGCTGGCTGTGGTTCCCCACCTGGGCCAGAGAGCCGCTGCACAGGGTGCGGTTAAAAGTTGTTCCTTTGCGCCCTGGGATACTCGGGGTTCTGCAGAATCCTGCCAAGTGATATAGCTGGTCGTCTGATCCTCCAGGTGGTGCAGGTGGATAAACACTTAACATGGGGTGGGGGATGGCTTAAAAATCCCCAACAGGCATCATCCTCAAGGGGTTATTAGGAACCAAATTTAGGAACCGGGATCCCACCTGAGGATGTCTGATGATGGAAGGCTGTCTTGCTTCCCTGCTAGGAGGCTTTCGGCTTGTTTGGCCTGGAAGCCCATTGACGGTCTGTGATGGGGCCTAATAATTAACAACGCCTAAGAATTCGTGTTCTTTCAACTTCTGACCCTGTGTCCTAACTCCAGGCGTTGGGGGTGCTGTAAGCAGACAGGAGAAAGAAACACGTGGAGGGCAATAGAATTCCAGAGCTGGTAAATACTGATAAAAATGAAGTTCCCAGACCTCTTTTTTTTTTTTTCTTGAACGTGGAAATGCAGATGCAGTTATGGCTGGTAGAGGTAAGGGGATGGTCTTGGGGGAAAAAATCTGACTCAGGACTGTAGTAAGTCTTTTAAAGGCCTTGAGCTTGGAAATTCGAACGGTGCCACTTCCAGTCAGCACCCAGCTCTTCTAGCCCCTTGCCTATATATATAGCTCCCCCCCCCAAAAAAATATATGTATATTTCTGAAAACTACTCTGGAAAATTAGGAACCACAAAGATTCGATTCTTCCCATAAAGATGACTACTTAGATTTTCTTTGTCTAGGTCATAATTTAAAAAAAAAAAATTTGTTTGAGTGTGTACATGCGCCACTGTTTTTCTGGTCACTAAGTATGTGCCTAATCCTACTATTGGGTAATATGGCTGTGTCTGGGTACTTTTAAAAATACCTGTGTGTAACTATTAAATGCCATCGGTGATACTTTAACTGTGTGTCCATAGAGCTGTGTGCAAATCAAACCCAAGGCTTCCATCCTTGGTATAGTAGCCAGAGACCTGTTCAGTGAAACACAATGAGTATTTGCCATGGATAAAATAATTTTTCCAACCTAATTAATAACCAAGCATTCCTGGAAGGAACTGAAATCCGGGTGCTTTCTCTCCCCTCTCATGTAAGTCTTTCCTTAGATAGAACATTTGTAAAAGAAAGCCATGCGACCAGAAATATCGATGATTCTTGGCCTTGTCTGTGCACTAGCCTTTGACAAACACACATTCTTAAGCCTCACCTTAATCTCACAGAATCTGGATTTCTGAGTATTTGGATAGGGACATTTTAGTTTTAAAAACCCACAGGTGATTCTCATGTTCAAGGAAGATGAAAACCATTGGTCTGTTTTCAGTCTTTTAAGGATCTGGATGATACTAAAATGTAAAAGTCACTGAAATATTTTTTTCACTTAAAAACATTATTTCAGCTCAAATCTTTAAGATTTTTCCCAATTTATGTACATTCTAGTTTGAGTTTCATTTTTAGTATAAATGTAAATAAGATGTGAAGGAAGTACTAGTTTAACCATAAGAAATAGCCAATATTGATTTTTTTTTTTTAAAACCTAGAAATAGAACAGTATCACATGGCTTAACCTAATAAAGGATAAGCAGAAGTTAAGCTGGGGCTTTCAATTCTGGCTGATCACCTGGGGGATAGGACGAAAGAGTTCTCACTAGAATGGCCAAAAGGAAAAGACAGAAAATAGGAATTCTTGGCAAGACTGTGGAGCAGTAAGGACTCATACATACTGCCGGTGTTGTGCAAATTGATACAAACACTTTGGAAAACCTTTTGGCATATTAAGCTAAATATATGCTTATCCTGTGACCCAGCAGTTCCACTTGTAAGTGTGTGGCAGGCAGATACGCCTACACATCTCCAAAAGACATATACAGGAATGTTCATGGCTACATTATTTGTAATAGCTACAAACTGGAAACAGTTAATGAATTGTGGTATAAACAAACCATCCCATATCCAGGGGTTAGCAAACTATGGCCTATGGGCCAAATATGGCCTACTACCTCTGTCTTGTTCATGAGCAAAAATGGTTTTTACATGTTTAAATGGTTGGGGGGGGGAAAAGAATATCTGGTCACATGTGAAAATTATATAGAAGCACCTACATAATAGCTTCAGTTTTTCTTTTTGGCCTGGAACACCTAAAATATTTCCTGTCTTTCCCTTACAGAAAAAAGTTTTACCAAATCCTTCTATAAAGTAATGAATTACAACTGCATACAACAACAAATTTGATGGCGACAAATCAACCCAAAATTGAGGCTTAAATTAACACCCATTTATTATCTCAACTTCTGTGGGACAGAGATTTGGGCACAGCTTAGCTGGGATTTCTGCTTCATGGTCCTTTACAGGCTGCGATGAAGGTGTTGGTGGGCCAAAGTCATCTGAAGTTTCAACTTGGGAAAGATAAGCTTCCAAGTTTGAGTGGTAGTTGGAAGAATTCGCTTCCTCACAGGCTGTTGGATGGAGGGCCTCAGTTCTTTGTTGGCTATTGGCCAGAGATCATCCTTAGTACTTTGCCGCAAGAGCCTGTGTGCAACATGGCAGCCTGCTTCATCAAAGCACACAAGCTAAGGCTAAATGGAGTTTACTAGCAAGATGGAAGTCACAACCTTTTGTTACCTAGTCATAGAAGTGCCACCCACTCAATGTTGTCATATTCTATTAGTTAGATGCAAGCTACTCAAAGGGAGGCCATGAATATTAGGAGGTTGGATCATTGGGGGTTATCATGGGGGGTTATCTATCACAACACACAGGCAGAATGTTGAACAAAAAAAGCCAGACAAAAAGAACTACATAATGTGTGATTCCATTTATATTAAATTCAAAAACCAGACAAGATGAATCTATGGCGTTATAAGTCAGGATAGGGGTTCCTCTAAGTGTATGAAGGGGGGAATGTAAGTGCAGGGAATGGTTAGTAAGTGGAAGGAAACCCCATGAGGGCATCTGGGATGCTGGGATGTTGTGATTCTTGAGCTGCATGCTGTTTACACATATATATATTGTTTGTGAAAAGGTATTGAGCCATATGTATCTGATTTGTGGAAGGGTGTATGTGTGTGTGTGAAAAAGATACTTCAATAAAAAGTTTTAAAAAGTAATATATGCTTAGATTCAAGTAAGCATGACAAATGACCCATTTATCAGCCACTCTTTGATTATCTATGCGTTCTCTTTCTTTGCCACAGTAAAGTCACAGTTGATTCCATTCCATTTAACAAGTATGCTTTGAGGACCTACTAAGTGCCAGGCACTTACCTAGATGATTGTAATACATAGTAGGCTGAATTTCTAGAAATCGCCCTCAAGATTCCATACCAGAATCCCCTGAACCTGTGAATGTAATGAGTCATGCTTCCTGTGATTGTGTTAAAAGGCACAGTTGACTGTAAAAATGGAAGACTATCCAGGTGGGCCCAATATAATCAATCAAGAAAGAATTTTCTCCTATTGGTAGCAAAAGGGGAGGGCAGAAGAGGAATTCGAAGAGAGTCTAGGCATGAAGAAGACTCAACACACAGGTTACTGCTTTGAAGAGAAAGGCATGTGAGTAGGGATACAGGCGGCCCCTGGCAGCCAGCCAGCAAGGGAAAGGGGACCTCAGTCCTATAGCTATAAGGAACTGGATGCTGCTAACAATTTGAGCCTGGAAATGGATTCTTCCCCAGAGACTTCAGATAAGCGTTCAACCCACCTGACACCTTGATTAGGTCTTGTAAAACCTGAACAGAGAACACAAGTGAGCCCACACATTCCTCTGAGTTACAGAACTGTGAGCCAGTAAATCAATATTGTTTTAAGCTGCTAAATTTGCTTATTTTCTATTTGTTAATTTGTTTAGTTTTTATGCAGCAATAGAAATTCATACAGGATGTATCCTGTTCACAGCAGACAGCTATTCTAGACCTATTTTTGTGGGTGGGGACACTTAAAAAATAATGATTTTTAATGCTGACAAAGTAAATCAGAATTTCTGGAGGTAGGACTCCCACCCCTAGCATTTTTTTTTCTTTTTTCAAGTTTTTCAAGTACTTCAAGAGATTCTAATCTGAAGCTTTGATTGAGCAATCTTATTAAGGGGATAGAGACCAAAATGCCTGGGTGAGAAGAGATATTTGGCATTCCACTCTGTTACATGTTTCATTAACCTGTCACTGAGTCTTGTCATGGCTTCTTGCAACATACCCCTTGAATGTGGGCTTCCTCTCCACTCCCTCTGCTACCCTGCTGGAGGACTCAGACCTGGGTTTCATTTAAATAATGTGAGTGTTAACCACTGGCTCCATGAGGACAAGGGTGGACCCTGGTTTTGCTCGCCTTTGATGTTCAGGCCACTAGTACTGTTTGCCACGTAATAAGTACATAATACATATATCACATGTTTATAAATGATGACTGATTGAAGGAGCACATGAATAAACTACCCAGTTGTGATTAGGTCTACATTCTCTCCAATGAAACTTCAAGTTAGTATTTTGTTTTTGTTTGTTTTAATGTTCCATGCTGGTAGAGGTAGATATTTCTACACCTGGAATCAATTCAAAAATGACTTAGAGACAAGTTCATCTGAGCCTTCTCATTCACAGTTGGGGCAGAGAAAAAGCATGCCCAGGTCACAGTATGGCAGAACAATGTCTAGACCAAGGCTTTTTTTAGGGGGCCTGGGGTGGTGGGATGGGAAGGTTTCTGTTGCTTCAGGCCTGGCTTGGTTTGGTGGCTTAACCTTAAGTGGAAGAGGCTGGGGCAGGTGTCCCTGCTTCAGGTTCGTGGATAGGTTGGGGTAGCTCTACCTTAGGCTGAAGGGGCTATGGG